GGGGGGGGGTCATGCATGAATGTTTTGATGTAATCAGTCAGGGTAGTCTTTCAGAAAACGGTTAACAAGAAATACTATTTTAGGATGATGCTTTAAAACTTTCAATTTCTACCTTTTGTCTCAGTTTCTCGAACGGGGTTATGACTGGATCTGCCATGAGTACCGTAGTCTGATTAACCCGAACCTGACTAGGTTCTATCATGGGTTCGGAGTCAACTATTTTCAGGATTTCCACGCGTTGAAGTCTTTTCTTCGGCGCACTCGGCGTGCTTGCTCCTGAGTCTGGAGAACTAGGTTCAGGTTTAGTTTCCTCTGATTCAGGTGATGTAAGGGGGCACTCAGGAGGACTAGAGTTCTGACGGTCAGCCCGGCTCATCCTGGGGCTCCCAGTAGGGTCTCTGAAGGACTGGGACCGGAGATCTTGTTTCTCCTTTACACTCCCACCCAGCTGTTCAGGTTCAGATTTGGTTTTTGTAACACCATCTCGGGATTTGTAAGCATTGGACACCTCTGTGATATGTTTAATCCACCTGGTTCTCTCCGAGGTTGACCCTGCAAGTAGCTCATAGATCTGGGGTCCACACTCCGTGGTGTTTAGAAGGTAGAAGGCTCGCTTATCCGTAGCTACAGGACGAACCAGCATAGTACTAAACTTTATAATCGGAGAATGAAACGATCTTCTTGATTCTCCACCCTGAGATTGATTATTATGAAACTTTAGAAGATATTTCTCTCCTTGCTTCTGTAGCAGCATCATACAGTCCTCTAGGAGAACTACATGCAGCTGTTTAAACCGCTTTGTATCACCAAGTTTAAGAGTAAGTAGTCCATCGTAAACTAGAACATGTTTCGTCAGATCTAGGTTTTTATACTCCTTGTATATAGGGTTATCACTGCCTAGTTTATCAAGACCTGAAGTGTCAATATTTAATTGTATTTCACTTAATCTCTCTTTATTCTGTTGCTGAGCAACCAGTCTATCTATACTGTCCAATATATCTTTAGTTTTTTCCATAGCAGACAATACAATATCGTGTTCTGAACACGACTCAGGGGTATCACTGTACTTAGCTATCTGCTCCAGGAGGAGTGGATATTTCACTAGTCTCTGATGCTCCATAGGGAGCATACTCTGAAGTTGGAGCCGTCGACACGCGGGTTTCCGTTCAAGTTCAGATAGAAATAATTCTAGTTTAGTATCTCGGCTCCGAGTTCTTTTCAGTTCTTCAATAGTAAAGTTTTGGTTTTTAATAAACTCTCCGACCACTTTCACCAAAGTATCACCATTGCCGTCCAAGAACATGTCTGTGAGGATGTCCCCAATGTCCCTGACGGGAAACCCGTTTTTGACACGACTTTTCATCGCCGTGTTATATTTTTGATGCAGGGCTAAAACCTGATCAAGGTTTGCAAACAGCTTGTTCGACAATTCTTTAGACATTCGTCCTTTTTCGACTAAAGGTTGTCGAAACACACTTTCAAGCACTTTTAAGTTCCTCACATGAGACTTTTCTGTGTGAAAAAGTTCGTTTATAACATCTTGACGCTTTAACTCTTTGGCAGAGAGTTGACTAAGTTCTTCCGCCGTCAAGGAATGCCTCCAATCTGGCGGATCCGCTTCCGCCTCAAGATCCGAATCTGAATCGTTAGGATTATCTGCAAAGAAGGGATCATTGTTAGAGAGGGAGCAGGTGGTGAGCTTGCTGGGGGACTCTAGGGAGCTCCTGTCTGCCAGGGAGGAGGAGGAGGAGGAGTAGGACTGTTGTTGAACTAGACTTGGATGACTATTTTGTCTCTGCTGAAGTGGTGACTGTCTCATAGTGATGAGACGAGCACTCTCCGACCTCTGTATTCCCTTCCCTCTCCAACGGTTTCTGTCACTTGATAATTTGGCGGATTCCGAGCGTTGTACGCCCTTCCCGGAGCCGGAACTCAAATCCCCGGAATGTAAATCCTCCAAGTTCAACATGGATTTCCTCATTTTATCACTGTTTTTTAATTCCGCGAGTGGGGAACTCTGTTTCTTATCAGGATGGAAAAATAGGTTGGAAACACTGTTCCTGCGGGGACCCAAACCACCATACAGGCTCTCAACCTTCTTCCTCTTCTCATACCAGTTTGTCAACACCTCCGGGCTCAGCAAGTGAACGGTTTTCTTAAGCGTGGATGGCGTCGTTTGGCAGGGAGGGAGGGAGCTGAGTCCGTCCGGAACATCCTGTGAACTGATAGGTTCTAGTGAGTCTCCGAGTCCGGTGGGCACAGTTTTAGCGCGCCCGCTTCTCTCTTTTCTCATCTTCTGGAGCATTTCGTCGGTAGGAAGATCCTGAAACAAGATTAACTTCATAACAAATATGCACAGGGTAATAAAAACTTTATTATCTTCCTCCCCCCAATCTCCCTAAGACCCTTCACTATCCTTTCTACCTTACACAAGATCCCTCTATCCCGTAGATCGATCCCTTGCTTTTCATAACTCTGTGTTCAGACAGCGAGGAGAAAGTTTTGGCAAAAATATTCCTTTTAAAGATTTTACCCAGATGCCAGGCAATTCCTCGGATTAGGGAAATAGTATAGACTGTACACTGTAAATTATATAGTGTATAAAAAGTGTCAGTAGTGTGCTAAAAGTAACTTTTTGAAGAGACTGTAGGCATAATTTCAAGTGAAGGACATATCGGCCCCTTTCAACCTTTATCTGATCAACTGTTTTTTTTTAGCTTGAAAAGTATTAAAATCTTTTTATTTCTCAATGGTATTCCTGCAATAAAAATGCTATGGTCACTTTGGTGGTAAAAACCCACAATTGAAAATTATTAACATTGATATATAATTCATACTTGAGCAGACAAAGCTTTTAAGGGTACCGTTGTGAATAGGACGTGTCTCTACACTAATGGAAAACCACTTAAATTTAAGTTTACAAACCGTTCAATTGTTAAAACTTAAAAGCCAAGTTCATAAATGAACATACAATAAGAGGTTTAAGATAATAAACTCCATTCTAAATTTTAGATTTCAAGAAAAACTTTTTGTTATGGAGTAAGATTTTTAAAAAGGAATAAAGGGAATAAAGTGTTATCCGTTAACTCAAATTTTCTAATTCCTCTCTTCCAACCTGATGATGTAAACCTTTGCTATTTCTAACTTAGATTATTTGATCTTAAAGAATTAATAGTTTGAAATATCTGAGGTTGGGTTGCAAAGATGTTGGGATAAGAAAATTGGAGCTTGTGGCAAAGACTCAACTCCTTCAGGATTAAACTTTAAATCCTCGATCAAAGAAACTCGAGGATTAAGCTAAGTATTGAGTGAGTTTAAAGAAATCTAGTGATTAAGCTAAGTATTGAGTGCGTTTAGAAAAATAAAGGAATAAGCTAAGTATTGAGTGAGTTTAAAGAAATCTAGTATTTAACTAAGTATTGAGTGCGTTTAGAGAAATCAAGGATTAAGCTAAGTATTGAGTGCGTTTAGAAAAATAAAGGAATAAGCTAAGTATTGAGTGCGTTTAGAGAAATCTAGTATTAAGCTAAGTATTGAGTGCGCTTAGAAAAATAAAGGATTAAGTTAAGTATTGAGTGCGTTTAGAGAAATACAGGATTAAGTTAAGTATTGAGTGCATTTAGAGAAATCAAGGATTAAGCTAAGTATTGAGTGCGTTTAGAAAAATAAAGGAATAAGCTAAGTATTGAGTGAGTTTAAAGAAATCTAGTATTTAACTAAGTATTGAGTGCGTTTAGAGAAATCAAGGATTAAGCTAAGTATTGAGTGCGTTTAGAAAAATAAAGGAATAAGCTAAGTATTGAGTGCGTTTAGAGAAATCTAGGATTAAATTTATTTCAATTTTACATGATTTAGAAAACATCAAAAATGTTTAGGTAAAGCAAAGAAAAGCTATGAAAAACGTAAACTGTATTTTGAAAAGTATTGAATGGAGGAGAAGGTCAGTTGAACTTAAAAAACAGAGTTTGTACTCTATTTGAATGTATTTTCAATGTGCTAAAGTAAATATTTGTGCGGAAAATTATTTTAATTTTAATATTTTCCAGTTCTTGAGAAGCTCACGCTTTCAAGACATATTTAATTCCTAGACTTAACTTACAAAATCAAATTATATATATATATATATATATATATAAATATTCATTTTTCTCTAACACTTCTTTCATTGTCTCTACTCTCTACCTTCCTATTGTTTACTTTTTTTCTTTCTTTCTTTACCCCCTCTTTATAGCATCTTCAATTTACCTTACTCATGTATTTTTCTATCTTTGACTTTTTCTATTTCACCCTCTTTCATTTCTTTTCTCATATTTTTCCTTATTTTCACTCCTTCTTTATAAAAAAACCTTTTTAAGCCCATCAACTTCTGTTAATTTCTTTTTTTGGAAAATTTTCTCTCGTTATGTTTTTCTTTTTTCTTTCTTAACTCCATGTTTTAGCTTAGTCCTTCGTCAATTTTATTCTCCCATTTTCACTATTTCTCACTTCGTCAGTTTTCACTATTTCTCATGTAAACGTAATTTCAAAGAATGGCAAGTCAGATTCACAACGGTGCCATAATAACATTGGTCGTACCAATGATGAATGAGAAATCCGTATTTTTACACCTACAAATTAATAAGTTCGATTAATTTTTTTACAATGTAAAAAGGGACTCGCGGAATGCGGATGCATGCTGAAGAGGCGATGAAAAAATTATGAGAATTAGCCACTTTTTAAGATGGAAAAATGACGAAATCTTTCTCATTGTTTCTAAGACAGAGGTTCAAAGAGAATCTTGGGAATCGGACATGCCACTCAATAAAAGAGAGTCCCTTTAAATTCCGTCTACAGTTCCTCTAAGTCCCCTTTCTACCCTGAAGACAAATGTTTATTGTTATACAAGTGTGCTCTGCGATATCAAAACTTAAAGTAAAGTAACCTTTGTTTTTAAAAATGCAAATGATAAAGATAAAGATTAGACTATGTTTACAGTGTACATAAGGCGCTTCGATAAAACTTCTTAAAGGGCGAATCTGCAAAAAATCTGCCACACTCGGGATACTTTTTTTCCATTGAGAAGAGCCATCATTAAAAATAATTATGACAAAGGATTTTTTACTAAATATTTGATTGAATGACTTTTTTACCTACACTCCCTTTAAAGAAAATGTTAATGAATTTTCTTTTGCACTAAAGATACGGAAATTATGCAGAAATGTTTAAAAATCCGGGAAATTAAGTCCACGAAAAAAATCCCCAAAAATTAAGTGCTAAACCTTCGAGACAAAACGTAACGTGTATACGCTTGGCAAAAAAATCGACAAAAATAAGCGTTTGTAAGAAATAAAAACTTTCCAGTTTCAATGATGAAAAGGGTCAAAAATGAAATTATTTTTTTTTAATTGAGGAGAACAAGTTTAGACGTGTACAAGGCCCACCCTGTACTGAATAAATAAACAGGATGAAAATACAAGGCAAAAGAAAATAATCAAAATTATCAACATTTCCATAAAATTGAGTCATTTTTCGTAAACACATGCAAAATTTATTAAGTAATAAATTAATAAAAACAAGCTTTTCTCTTTCTCACACTTTCTTCCTTCCATTTCCTTTTCATTTCACCCTATACCTTCACTTTACTCATTTCCATCTTTCTTTTCTTTCCTTTCTTTTCTGCCTTTTACATCTCTTTCCTCTTTCGTATATCACTTCTCCTTCCCTTTCCTCTTTCTTACATCCTTCTTCCTTCCCTTTCCCATCTTCCTCTCCTTCCCTTTCTTATCTCCATTTTCCTTCCCTTTCCTGTTTATTATATCCACTTGAAATGTTTCTTCCAAATATCCACAAAATTCTTTTTCCATTTTTTTTACCTTTGTTTGATCCTTCCAAACCCTCGTTAGATCGAACCAAGGCCGATCAGAGTGCTTTCTTTCTCCCTTCTCACAACTCTCCTCCTATATAAATAGATGGTACAGGTACTAGGTAGAAGTCAGAGACGGAGAGAAATAATTGAGAACCGGGTTGAATTGCAAATAAGATTCTTTAAGCATAATGATTTAAAACCTTGGCCAAGAAGCGACCGAGCAAGAAACTTGCCGACATAATTCTAATTCTAGCTGGAATACAACAATCTTTGCACCATGGTTCAAAGATTTTAAGGGGCTTGTGCGTATCACAAACTCTAATTTTCAAAATTCAATACATTTTCAACCTGGTGGAATAAACCTTTTATACATTTTAAAACAATGCTTTTTAATCTGACAGATTTCATAGTTTGAAATATCAATAGGTGGCAAAGATGCAATGATTAAAAAATTATAATTTGTAGTTTGGGTTTAGCTCCTTAAATGCACTGAGCTGGGAACTTGTGTTGGATGCTCATCATCCCAACCGCTTGAACTCCATATCCGCTGTGGGCACTTTTAATTTGAAGATGAATGCTTAATCTTTTCATTTCGGTTCTTCCTTACCTGGCCAAAACTCCCCTTATACCCCCCTGACTGGGTACAATTACATTACCATGCAGGATTAAATTAATTTGTAGATTAAGATCAAGCATTGATCTCGATATACACAATACAAGAGTTAACATTTATGAACATTTAGAAATATTACTAAAAACTAAATTCTGAGCAAAAGTTAAAATCAGACAAAAACACGAAGACGACACTCAATTTACAGTATTTTTTATCAGTGAACAATTCCAAAATTTTTACCTTTAATTCTGAGAGTGTTGATTTACTAGAAGCTCTTGAGAGGCTTCCTAACCCTATAGAAGAAAGATCTAAGCTGCTTCGCGCCGCTCTTATCCGAGAGAAACTGTTTTTCCGTTCCTAGAGAACAAGAGAGTTTTTTACACTTTATATTGCAATAATATATACTAAGGAAAATTCCACAGAGTTAAACGATTATTTGTAAGTCTAGTTCTGAATCTTAACCAGACCTTCCGCTATCATGTATCAATCTTTAAACTACTTCATGAAAAGTAATTTTAAGTTTAAAGAGAAAAACAAATAAAACTTCAAAGCATTTTCAATTCTACTCCAGAAAATCTATTTTTAAACACTTAACTAAAATCATTTTTAAAAAATTCGTGTACTTGCAACAAATTTCCTAATTTCCTAATCACTATATCATAGCAAAGGAATTGAGTTTTTGCCACAAACTCTGATTTTATAACCCCTATATCTTTGCGACCCGATGTCGTAGATCTTAGATATTTCAAACTATGAATTCTGTTTGATCAAATAGTCGTAGTTTGAAATATCAAAGGTTTACAACATCGGGTTGCAAAGATATAGGGATTAGAAAATTTGAATTTGTGGCTAAAACTCAATTCCTTTATGTCGTAGAACTTTAACTTTTCCAACTTTAAATCAGCTGCTAGATCACATAGTCTGGAAATATCAACATCAAAGCATTAGGTTGCAAAGATATAGGGATTTAAAAATTTAAATGTATTCAGAAATCAGTTATTTTGCCCTTAAAATCTTGTTATACAGAAAGAAAGAAGGACTAAAATAAAATAGCTTTAACTATTTTCTATATTCATAATATAATAATCTTGAATTTTCATGCTACAACAAATTCCCGAAGAAATGCAGACAATGTTAAATATTTTTAAAAGTATTAAAAATGCCATAAAATTTGGTAAAAAATTGTTTTCATAGTTTACATTAATTTATTTGTACAACACCATATTTCTACATAGTAATTTGTAGCTGTATATTTATAACGTAACAAATTAAATCCTTGTTTTAAAGATTTTTAACACTCATCACCCAGAAGTCAGAAGATTAAACGACGCAAAAAAAACACATGTTTCGTGGCTATTTCATTTATCTATGAATTATTACCCAAACTTAAATGAAAATAAAGACACAGGAAAACATATTTTAAAAAAACTCTTAATCAGAGGGTTAGGACACATGTTAACTTTAAATAGGACAATAGAGGTTTAGGACACATAACGTGTACTCTTGTGGGACAAAAATAGGGTTAGAACACATGGGGTGTACACCAATAGGACAGAGGATTAGGAAACGTATACTCTAGTGTAGGACAATATAGGGTTAGAATACATAGTGTATTCCGACAGAATATTAAAGGGATGTTTACTCCCATGGGACAATAGTGGGACAAGACATAAGTTGTGTATTCCTTAAAAGAAAGCTAGGACACATGGTATTTACTACAGTAGGACACAAGTTATGCACTTGAATAGAACAATAAGACACATTACTCCGATAAGACAATAGAGGGTTAAGAGTCATCCTCCAATAGTTAAATAGATGATTAGGACACATGACGTGTAGTCCAATAGGACACATTAGTTAGGACACATGGTGTGTTCTCCAATAGGACACATTAGTTAGGACACATGGTGTGTTCTCCAATGACAATATAGGGTTAGAACACAAGGCGTGTACTCCATAGGACATTAAATTGCTAAGAAACATAGCGTATACTCCCATAGGACAAAAGAGGGTTATGACACATGTCGTTTAGTCCTTTATGACAATAGACACATGTCGTGTACGGTGTACTGTAGTGTAGGACAAAAGAGGGTCATGACACATTTCGTGTACTCATGAGAGGACAATCGACGGTTTAGACAAATGAGGGTGGTTAATTTTATGATACAATTGCTATAAAGAATTAAGAGACAAATGAATGCATACTTCTAAAGACCATTACATGTCAATTTTGATATTGGACAAAAATACAAGATTTTACGACACACCACATGCTGTATTTTTAAACACATGGATCAATTTTTAAGTGTCGTAACACCTTGGCCTGAAATTATACTTTTTTGTAGCCCTAGACATGTAACTTTTAGCAGTTAAACGAGCTTATTTCTAACTTCAGTTTCAAAATATCGAGTAATTGGCAAAATCCTGATAAGTTTTTGCATGGGAGCTAGCACATTTTAGATAACCGATTAAATAAGATGCTGGATAATAAATTCATATCAGGCCCATAGCCAAAGAGAATAGAATATACATTAGAGNACCAATGATCATTTCACACAGACTCTATGCCTTTTACTTTACAAACGATGATTTTCCGTTATAACTATAAATCAAATGACGTTTTTTATTCACCTAATTCATTATAAAGTTTATTTAACAGCTTTAAAAAATTCGAAATTGAAATGGCTAGTCTAGGGAACATACTCTATTAATGTATTCTACTGCATATAATTTGTGAACATTTACATGATTTGTACACTTTGAACTCCCTTTCAGGCTGAAAGGGACTGAAAAAATTCATACCGAGAGATTCTCAAAATTCCCCTCTAATATATATTCTATTATCTTTGCCCATAGCTAAAGGGTGGGCACAGGGGTACGTGTTCCCCTTTTCTCAAGAAGTGGTGGGGGGGACTGTTGTATAGTTAATGCTTTCTCTCAATATGTCCTGAAGGTGACAGATTCACACAGTTGTCAACTGTCAAGTTTACAAATGTAAAGTGTTGAAGGGTGTGTGAGTGTCTGTACATATAGAACAGTTCTACACTGTCAAGCCATGTTTATTGTTTATATCACAGGGTGTAATGTAAACAAATAAATCTGAGCTAAGTATTCTCAACCACCATTGACAATATAACAATAAATATTTGACTTGAACGGAAAACTAAAATATTAAAATCTGTCTGCTCAGTGCACAGGGGTTCATGCATACTTGATACTGCACAGTGGGTTGCTCACGTTTACCCTGTCTTCCTTTTAACCCTTACCCTACACATACAATACATTAGATGTACTAAAATAATTCCATACATCAGGCTCATTTCTCTCTATGGTAACCGTATATAGGGACAGGAGATTTTCAGTAGCAATGTTTTTGCTTCTGCCTCAAGAGCAAAGTTCTTTACTTGATGATGGAAGAGCCCTTTGACTCAAAAGCAACTTTCTTGCTCTTGGAGGAAACCTGAGCGCCAAGAGTATACTGTTCTTGCTCTACGATGAAACCTTAGCTCCAAGAGAAGATCTATTGCTCCAAAACAAAACGTTCTTGCTCTGATACCAATATTTATTATGCTAAAAAGTCCTGTCAAAACACATATTTTAAGTTTAAACGACGATTTGTAGTGAAGCAAAGTTTTAAGATGCTAATAGCAGAAAAATGCGCATCATTTTCCGTACGAACATCTTTAAGAGTAATTTAAGACTTTACTGAACGTGAAAAAATGCAGACATATTAAAATATTGTATAATGTTTAAATAAATACTAGAGAAGGGGGATGGGTATCTCATCTCTTGGTAAACAACTTATTGAGCCAGATAGTAAAGAAAAGTAAAATTGAAGATGAAAAAAAAACATTCATTTTCATTTAAAAAATGATTGTTCTCCTCTAACATACGGTATGAAAAAAGGTAAATAAAAAATCACCTGAAGGGTGACAATATTCAAATCATAGGGAAATGCTAGAAATGTGAGACTCTATTGAAAGGAGATCTGTACGGCGCAAAACTCTCTTAAACTCCGACGGACAATGATGAAACCAGGANAATGTAGAAAATGAGTTCCTAAATACAGAAAATGAGTTCCTCAATGGCGAATATGAGTTCCTAAATGTAGAAGATGAGTTACTAAATGAAGAAGATGGGTTCCTAAATGTAGAAAATGAGTTCCTGAATGTAGAAAATGAGTTCCTAAATACAGAAAATGAGTTCCTCAATGGCGAATATGAGTCCCTAAATGTTGAAAATGAGTTCCTAAATGTATCTACAAGATAAGTTCCTAAATGTACAAAATGGTCAAGTTCTAAAATGTTAAAAATTACGCAGGAAAATAATTCAATCAAGGTGAAATTTTAGATTAAGATTATACGCATAATTCTCATATCCCAATAATGTTCAGACTCCTCCCCCCCCCACCACATGGTCACCCCCCCTTCACTATATATTACTCGTCCTTCACTGTTTGCTTACTTTCCTTCCGATATCCACAAAACTGGGTAAACCCATTCGTGAAACCCGGGTTCCAAAACTGGTTTTCAGAATGATACCCTGTCTTAAGTTTTTGGCTCAGATGCCCCCTCTATTACTAATATCTCGATGGATGAAACACTTATTTCAACTTTCATTTACTTGTTTTAGCCCTATTCAATTGCATTTAAGAACTATAAAACACTTGTTTTTAACTTTAGTTTTTAATAAATAATCGGAAAATTTTTTATTGTTTTTTCTTGGCGCGAGAGTTTGCAACCTGGATCATTTTGATTGATGCACACATTGACGAAATGAGGTACTTTAGTGTGACATACAGGGTGTCCCACATCATATTAGACCGAGAACGGGTCAAAATTACGATTTTTCGGGACTAATGAGAAAATTTCATTTGAATGAATCATTTTGAAAAATAACATAAGGCTTATAAAAGAATTTTCTTGCGGAAAATGAAGTTTTTCGACTATTAAGGGTTTATTTTGGTGTTAAGGGTTGGAGATAATCTAATATGATATGGGACGCTCTGTACATACATGCATTGCAAGAATATCCCTGTTTAATGTTTATCCGTGAAATATATTTAATTACCTTGTTATCCTGTCCTGAGCTCGGCTCATCTTCCTTTCTGTTAAACAAAGATAAACTTGTTATAGATCTTTTATTTAGGAAATTTGATCTTTTACAGTTCACCTCCTCAGGCTCCGGGGTCTCTTTACACACACCAAACGGAGTTTTTATCTCTCCTCCGGACCCCTTATCAACCTTTCGATTGTCTCCGTTCCGGAGAAACAGGCGGGTTAAACTTCTCCGGTTCCCTGTGTTCCGTGTAAAGGTTGAGGATGGGGGTAGATCCGGAACTTTGAAGGAACCGGAGAATTTCCGGTGTTTTGAGAGGTTTGGTTCCGATCGTTTCTGTAGAGGGGGAGGAACAGGATTCTCCGGAATACGAGTGTGCGACGCGGATTTTTTTATTCCTAATCCGGTGTCTACTTTGGGTTTAACATTTTTCAGGTCGGGTTTGTTCTTTTTACTGTCCTCCAAGAATCTGGAGGAATCCTTGATATCCTCCGGCCTCCGGGAGGAATTGGATCCTCCGTTTTCACTGGCCGATGAATAGTATCCACTGCTTGTCCGTCTGAATAAATTTATTTTCAATGGATTTTTGTCTAACTTGAAATTTTACAGGGAGTGTTTATCTATATTTCTTAAAATTGGACATTGAAGTTATATTTATAAAAAAGGGGGGATACCATTTTCAAGGACCTTTCAAATAAAAATATATCCCTGAGGTCGCAGCTTGAGTCTGAGTCTGACTTTGAGTAAAGATTGGTCGGAGTAAGATCTGGTTTGTACTTTTTGATCTCTTGCTCGCGCATTCCTGGCCTCTCCCTCCTCACCTCATCCTCATCCTTCCTTCGCCGCGGGACAGGGGCTGCAGAACATATCATTCAAATTCAATTTATAGATTGCAAAATTAGCCGAACTAGGTTTTGCTGGTTGAGTTAATTCTAATTTTTCTGACCGCATGTTACAGAGATAGGATTTTATAAATTAAAAGAATTGCTGAACTTGTTACAAACTTCTTAAATATAGATTATAGAAAACGCCTTAGGTATACTTTTTTTACATTTTACAACTTTCAGTAGATAAATACATATCAACACTTGCAAGCAGTGATTGGGGTCCATTTAATTTTGATGCGGATCCGGATCCCAGATCCACCCTGAAAAAATATCCAGGTTCAGGTCATGAACATTTCTTTCAGATTTACTAATTTTTTAACATTAAAAGAATTTTCAAATTATTTTTCTTATTTTTTGCTTATTTTTTTTTGGTAAAACTCGATAAACCCTTTAGAGATGAAGAAAATTTAAACAAACGTTGTGGATCCAACAGATCCTTAGCACTGCTTGCAAGTATTCTGAAATCAGTAAAATCCTCGAATTTGTGAACACCCTGTAAAACAAGGTTGGGTGAGTACATGGTATTCAGACAATGAAATATGAATTAGAGGCGATGATGGAAAATGTGAAACATGAAATGAAGAAGGGTCAAACCATTGAATCAAACATAATAATTTGGCTGGAAAAAAAGATATAATACAAATATTTCCTAAATGTAGATTATGAGTTTCTAAATGTACAAAATGGGTCCATAAATGTAAAATAAAAAAACTCAATTTACAATTGATCAGTTACGCAACATCCCAATATCCTACGCCCCCCCCATTGCTAAAAAAAACTTAGTTCACTATAGACCCCTGTTTCCTCCTTTAAATCAAGATTTATCTTTTGACGTATTTGGAAAACAATGTCCCCTAAGAATAATAGATCAGATCAGGCCTCAAGCTATTTCAAGGGTATCTTGACAAAAATTCAAATAAACGAAAACATTGAAAACAAAAATAAATCGAATTTAATTTTTTTGTTTAAAAAGTTATTAGTTTCATATTTGAAAAAGAATTTTTAATATCAGATAATTAGATGAAAAAAGTGAATAAATATCTGAATTTTAAATAAATTTCAAACAAAATTGGAAAAATAAACAAAACAGATTTTTTTTTGTAAACATAGAGATAAGCTGTACAATGCTTTTGGGGTAAAAGAAATGAGGATAGTTTTTGATATTTTATATAAATTTTTATTTACCAAACTTTAACTTTATTTTCAGGGGAAATGTATCAAAAAGGTAAAGTAGATCGAGCGTATAAGATCTAGTCAATTTTTTCTAATTCCCCATAGCTAAGAAAATTCCTGAAGATTAGAAATGATTGACCAGATATGAGAAAAACAATCAGAAATATTGAAAATAAAACAAAATTTAATTATTCATTTTTTTGGGAACAAAAAGGATGAATAAAAGAATAAATGAATGAATGAATGAATGAATGAATGAATGAATGAATGAATGAATGAAAGGATGAAAGGATGAAAGGAAGAAAGGGTGGATGAATGAATAAATGAATGAATATATTCCTGGAGTGTCTGAATTGAAGAAAGTACGAGGTCTGTATTCTGTATTAACTCCATTCCCTCTTTCCATCTCAGGCAGGAGACACTTATAGACAATACACACCTGGAATACAAAATAATTATAATAATAATAATAATAATAATAATAATAATAATAATAAATAATATTAACTGAAAACTGTTGAAAACTCTATTGACTCAAAACAGAAATACACAAGTCACTTTTATAGGGAAACCACAATTAATAATAATCCATTTTCAAAGAGAAAAACATGGATATCTCATTTATCGGAGAAGGGTACTGCAAAGTGAATCGGATATGCCACTCATTCTACATATGTAAGGTCACTTGAAGTTACGTGTACAGTCCCTTAAAGTGATTTTGATGAACACTGTTGAGTATGCACCTTCCAGTGGGTTGACCGGTATTTAACTAGTCGGTTGAACAAGTGCAGCACTCTGACCGATATGTTTGTAATAGAGAGGGAACCTTTTCATGTATATATTTCCAGGGCCTGCTCGTACAAGGGAGTACATAAAAACATCTATGTACAATTATGAACAAAATTTACAATTGAGAGCTTTTACTAAGCATTTAGAAATAGTTTTGTATTAATTTGATTTTGAAGCCCCCCTTTATAATCAAATAGTTAAGGAACCTTAACCCCAAACATTGGAGGAATATAAACACAGGACCTGGGATCTATAATGACAACCTTGCCAATGTGTACTCTGGGGGGACTAGTGACATACATTTTATAATTTATTATGTTGGAGAAAAACATCCTGGTTCAAATATTTAATAAATATAAACACTATCATAACAAACTGATTAGGCCAAAAATTGTATGGTTCTATTTTCAAATCTTTAAAATACCAGAAAATCAACTTTTCTAACCTTTTTTTCTATTAAATTCATATGTAATATAATATTTGCAAGATGTACAAAAATTTATTAGAATTTTACAGAATTAAGAATTATGAATTTCTGGTTGAATTCCTAGCTATTCCTAATATTTGGTTGTAGAATTGATTAAACAGGACTTGGATCAGGTTTCAACAGTTTAATCATTTTATTCAAATTCTCTCTAAATACCAGTTAACTATAGCTTCAGTAATTAGATACATTCTTTTTATACTTTTTCATTTTTTGATTAATAGGACTAAACACGTATTTTAAACGTATTTATAGATTGGTATGTCTAATTGACAACAGCAATTTCAATTTTGGTTTCCCTTTGTAAAATAACTTGCACTGATTCAGAAACAGTGGAGGAAATTATCAGAATTAAACACTTTTCAAGAAAAACCCCCGACTTTTTCTCAGTAAAACGAATAAAACTTTAACTTAAGTAATAATACTCAAAGTCAATTCAAAATTTTCTTGATAAACAGATTTGTTTTGAGCTTCATCATAAAACATAAAATTCATAATACAGTTTATTCTATTCATGTTTCATGAAAAAATGCTCAATACTATTTAACTGTGAAAAAAAGTAATTCAAAACTGTTGAAAAGAGAAGGATGTAAATTTAGTCTGAATTAAATTTATTAACGCTTTTAAAAATTAAGCTTCTATTCCCGACTTCTAAAATAGATATCATTCCATTTAAGTCATTCCATTAATTAAATGATATTTTACAATTCCACTTAGGAACAGAACACGCTTAAAAAACTTCAGGTTTGCCCCGCACTGCATTTGAATCTTAACGAAAAATCCTAATGTAAGGGAAAAAGTTTAAAATATCTCGGACACATGTTGTTTAAAAGTGATCTGTTTCTAGGCCCGCAATCTTAAATGCATGACGTGTCTTTTGCAAATTGTGTGACGCGTGTTCGCAAATAGAGGATTCATTATTTGGGACCTAAATTCCTTACCTTAGGGATACTGCATACTTAGGGGGCGTAATATACTTTAAAATAGTGTTTGAACGTTTCAAAACAGGGGGGAAGGGGCCTCTAATTAATTGATAAAATTCTAAAATCTACATTCAAAATGTATGGAATAATTAGGCAGTGCCTAGAAATCTTAGTTCCGTTTATTGAAATAATGGTTCCAAATACGGATCCAGGTTTTGAAAAAAAAATCTCATAACTTGATGCTTAGAATTTATTTGTCTTAAAGCACTTTGTAATTTACTTTTTGGAAGCTTTATGATCAAGAATCAATGGACCGTCACGAATGATTCTCTAAGCAAAGACTCGACATAAGGAGCTTAAGGACAAAAGTGAAAATAAAGACCAAGAAACCAGACAAGAACAAAGACAGATTTCAAAGACAGAAAAAAGAGAGTAAAAAGACTCAAAACAGGACATAGCTACACAAACAGACCATCGGTCAAGGAAACAGAAACCAGAAAAAAGGAAGAAAAAACCCTTAACAAATTTTCATACAAATCCCCCCCCCCTCAACCAATGTATTAAATACATAAAGACGAGTAATACAAGGAGAGAAGCAAACAACCCTGTTTATAAACTTGGATGACTGGCATACTGGGCATTAAATTTGAAATGCGTAGTTAGCTTAAAAGGAGTGCTCACGATTTTTAAAATTGCGTAATTGGCTTTAAGGAATTGTTCATGATTTTCATGGTTCTATTTCGAAGTTTTAATTCGTTGTTTGTGCAGGTTAGGTAAAAGTATGTCCATTGTAGTTCTTTTGTCCAAAATACTCCTAAATACAACATAAAACAATAATGAAAAAATATAATTAAATTTTAGATAAATTCTCCTCAAAAAAAATGTATGACCACTCCCTTTAACGCCATTTCTGTACGCAAACTTGCGTAAGCCCCATCAAGCAAACTTAATGCGTAAAAGTTTGTAGAAGTATTATCGCTTACGCAGCATTAATCCTTCTACTAGATTTTATTGACGGCCAATATTATTGAATAGATATTTATGGATAAGTAGACCTTGAAGTAGATATGTTTTTAAACCCTTTGATTGTCTTATTCTCCCATTGTAAGTCTATCTTAGTCAGAGTCTTACAACTATTTTTTGATCGACGCTTGGACTTTTTTTCAGGTAGATTTCTAGGGCGAGTAATCAGTTCCTTACTGGCAAGAAAGTAATAGGACCTGTAATGATCAAAGCTTGGTCTTTTAATATATTTTTTTAAATATGGAAAATGTTAGCGTTCCATCAATTGGAATTTTAAGCTATCTATGCAATCTATTTCAAGACGTGTTTCAAAAGTTTCAATAAAAATGTTCTTCTTATAATTATTTCTAATGTAAAATCTTATTTAAAAAAAACCAAACAGTTAGAAAAATGGGTTTAAAGTATTTGGTTTGAAATAGGATTAGGTTTAATAGGATTAGGTTTAATAGGAAACTTTAAAATGTTTCGGAAACCATTAAACAACAAAAAATCCTGTGAACTCGTAGAAATTAAAACTTTTGATAGGGGGAAGGGGGAAGGGGGGGCGGATAAGTTCTTTCCCCCATCCTCCCCTAGCTATATCTGAAGGGATTAGTTCTTGTAAAATAGTCTTTTCAACCTTAGAAATGTAGTAGACACCAGCATAACCTTTTCTTGGTCGAAATACCTAGTATTGTATGTGTGCATATATTTGACTAGGGTTAGCCAGATACCAATACCAATAAAAAACCAATAAAAGTTAAAGAATTTGCATAACAAAGCCATCCAACCATCCGTCCGTCACTCTCCTTACTTCTCTCAATATCCCCTCCCCCCACATACATATATTACCTTCCCTTTGATT